GGGGGGGGGGGGGGGGGGGGGGGGGGGGCTTCCCTGCAACTGACTGAGATCACTTTCTTTACTCCAGAGGCTTTGGCTTGGGAAAATTCAATGAACTGCTCTTAACATCTGCGGAGATGTCGTGGAAAGGATATTCAGCTACCGAGAAAGGGAAACCGGAGCAGTGGGTATCCTCTTTTCATAAAAGTCGGCAGCTAAATTAAGCATGGTAGTCGGTATCTGCTGGCAGAATCAAAGGTTTGTTTCTACCTAATAATAAAGGCAAGTTTCATTCCATTTAGTTCCTTCCCGAGCATCATCTCAACCTGTCAGAATTCGACAGAAAGAAAAAAATTTAAATGAAGTAGGGAAGACACTAGGGTTCCCATCTACATTGCTTCTGTTTCCGAAATCACATCTCTCTAAGTCTTGGATTTCCTTTACTCCAAACTAAGCCTCAGACTCCAAATAGAATTCCTTAACCCCCGCTTCTCCATTCAATTACGCTTAAACCATGCCAACTACCGAACCACAGCAGAACCCCTACAAATAGGCTTGCTATTCATCTTGGAAGTCATGCCCTGCAGCAACTGCCTATCTCCAAACTCAGGGGTATCACCCAAATACAACGCAATGGAATCAGACATGCAAAGCACACACGACTTCTGCGAGGGAGGGAAACGCGACCCGGGAAAAGTGCGCTCTTCACCAGTCTCAGGACCATCCACCGGGTCGTGGGGAGGTGGAGGTGAGGGGTCCCAAAAGGGAGGGGAAGAAAGGAACCCGACTACTGGGGGAAATCCTTTCTCGAGAAAAAGGGACTGGATTTCCCGGCCAAGGGAAGCAGCCGGTCCTTGCAAAGGAGAAGAGGCAGACAGAGAGGGAGGGCCCTCTGCTAGGGAAAGCAGAAGGAAGGCACTTTCCGGGGTCCCGGACTAGAGCCTATCACCTGGCTCCCGGGGGAGGTGAGGAGCGTCCCATCGGCTGCTTGAGGGGGACACCCGGCCTGCCAAGGGGTAGCAGAGGCGGAGCAGAGATTCCCCTGCCGAACCCCGGAGTCGTGTCGGGCAGATGCCACGGGGCCGCTGGGTGGGGGGAGGGGAGCAAAGGGGGTGGAGATGGGATTCCCCCCTCTCGGAAGAGCTTTAGTGGAGGAGGCGCCCGGCCAAGCCCGAGCAGCGTGCTTCAGACTGCGGAGTCGGGATCCCGCCGCCCGCACCGGCAGCGCGGAGCCCCGCAGCGCCCGCCGCACCGGCCCCTCGGTCCCCGGGGGCCAGAGACTTTGACTGCCAGGGCTCTGGGGGCCTGACACCCAGGCGGCCTGCCCCAGCTCTGCCGGGAACACACGGGCACAACCCGACTGCCCCGCAGCTCTCAGCGGTTGTAAAATACACCCCCCCTTCTCCCGGTCCCCCTTCTCAGCCTGCCCTCTCTGCCCGAGGCCGCAGAGGAGCAGCACCCCAGGAGAGAAACCTCCGGCAAGTGGAGGACAGCTGAGTGTGGCGGAGCCCGGACCTCCTCCCCCGGTTACCTGTGAGGACTCCGACGCGGATTTGATGGTCGTGGTTGGTGAGGATCATTCCCTCGGTCGCCATGTTTCCCAGCGCAGTCACCGCACTGACAGGAGCCGGGAGAAGCCGGAGCCCGGAGCGCGCCGGCCGGGAGCGCGCTTGCCTAGGAGAGCGCGAGGCGGACGAGCGAGCGAGCGAGCGAGCGGGAAGGAGGGGGCCGAGCGCCCGGTGGCCTGGCGGGGGCGGAGTCGAGCCGCGCGACCCCGAGTCCGGCGGGGAAGACGCGAGCCTGGGGCGGGAGAAGCGGCGGCCTCCCTGACGGGGCCGGCGGAGGCGGCGGGGCCAGGCCGGGCGAGCCCCGAAAAGGCTCTGCGGAGTGAGACCCAAGCGAGACGCCGGGATGGCAAGAAGAGACCGAGGGGAACGGGGAGCACACGCTCTGGAGGGTGCGGGGGCGGGCTCGGGGACAGGGGCGGAGCTACACCCCGAGGCGTGCAACTCGTGGAGAGTGAGGGGAGGAGTGAGAGCGAGCGAGCGAACCAGAGAGGAGAGCTTGGCTGTGGAGTGCCGGGAGCGGGAAGAAGCCGGGCCCAGCCTGAGTGGGATCGAGCGAGGCTCCTGGGCGCGCGAGTAGCGCGGGATTGGCTGGGCGGACGCGGTGCGGGGACGCGCGAGGCACGAACGCAGCCTTCTCGGCGGGCCCCAGACAGAAGCAATCCCCCGCCGAGCCTGCAGCCTCGTCGGACCGGCCCGCTCGCCGGGGAGCCGCTCTGCACCAGGTGCGGTCGCACGGTGGGCTCAGCTTCGTGGAAGGCGCGGGTGAAGCTAGAGGTGGCTGCGGGAGCTGCCTGGGTGGCAGAACGGTGGCTGCTGGGACGAGTGTCTCCCGTGGGCGGAGGCGGCTGACCCTGGGCCGCCTGAGCTGTGACCCGCAGTCAGCTCTCCCAGACGGGATTTCGGTCTCGCCGGGCTTTAGCCCCTTCTCCGAGACCGCCTAGTGAACGAACCTGGCCAAAGAAGCCGCGGCGGCGGCGGCTGCAGGACGCGTGGAGTGGAGATCGTCGCTTCCTCTCTGCCGTCCCCTGGTTGTGGCCCTAAGCATCCGAGCCATGACCTGCACTTCTGGGTGAAATGCATCCATCTACTTAGAATGAGGGCTTGTGTCCCACTCTTGGAAGCACAATCGGTTGCCGTGGCGTTTAAGTTTCCTTTCAGTATTTGTGGAATATGAAATTACCATGAAAACGTGGTCAATTTAGATCCGTGTCCTTTTCATAAAATGTTTTCATCACCTTTGTGTTATGTAGATTTGCCCTTTCATGGCTCTTTAATTTTTTTAAAGTGTGTTCTCTCCTTTGCTCAGGATAGTAAGACCTAGAGGCATAAAAAAAAAGTGCCAAAAATGTGTAATACTCCACACTCAGACACAAAAATCTCTGAGTTGGTTTGATGATTCTATGGAGTTTGTGTTCGGGTTAGAACATATTCAACCCTGTTCACTGTCTTTAAATCATAGAGTACAAAAGGAATGATGGATTGAATTGAGGAAGGATAAAATAATGAAGCTTTTGAAGATATGTATAGCTAGTATTTCTGACAGTGGATTAAATTTTTAAGCCAGACGGTGAACTGGCCTCCCATAATTATTACCAAAGACCCTGGTTTCAGAAGAGGGACCTAGATGAGGAAGTGCCCAAATGAATCATTCCTCTCGGACCAAAAATGAAATAAAGTAGCTGATCACATCATGAGCTTTCAAGCCTATTTTATTCTGTGATGCATGCAAATTATATATGACTTGAAAATTTTAATATTTAGAAGTAACTTCTAAACCTGCCCATCGACAGGTTCCTTCCAACTTTAAAGAAGGTAATAGAATAAATGAGCACCCCCTCCAACTTAGAATATACTGTACCTAGCACTTTCACAAATCAGCAACAGAACAGAGGACTTTCTGCATCTATAGAAATAATGGTGAGTTACATTGATTACTTTTCTGTCCTGTGGCTTGAACTCAGGACCTCACACACACTAAGCACGCTACCACTGAACTATGTCTCAAATTCATTAAAGTGTATCCGAGTATGGTGAATATGAAGTAAGTCTTCAGATTACGTGGATTGTTATATTTTACTAAATATTAGTACTAATTACTGAAAAATAATGAGGTAAATGCTTGTCTTCCAATTACTTTGCATATTCCTCCCCCAAGTTCCATAAGCTTTAACAATTAGAATTTACACAGAAAAAATTTTACTCTCTCCAGTTTCCACAATTTTGCTTTCTGTGGTTTCAATTCTCCACATATCTAGGGTCCAAAATATTAAATAGAAAATTTTTCAAGTTAGAGAGTATATATGATCATATCTCATTGTATACATGTATAATATTCTATATGAAAAAATTTAGAGAAAACGCCTCAAAGTACATCATTCAAAAGTTTAAAATACACACCATTCTTAGTGTAAATGGAATCACATGTAATCCATTTGGGACTGCCTGTACTGTGAATCATCGCCCTGCCCAACCTACCTAAGCAGCCCATCCCTTAGTCACAGAACATTCATCTTGGTCATCAGAGCAGCTGTCCCAGTACCAAGGGCTTAGTGGTAATTTAATATACCAAAGAGAGGCTGTAAAGTGTGTGAAAAGGTGAAAGCTGCAGTTTCTAAGATGTGCAGTAAAAACTCATAAGGAGGTTTTATGTAGGATGTGACACTGAGGTTCAGGTATAAAGGAGTCTGCAAAGGAAGTGAAGTTGCTGTATTACAGTCTGTAGACTTTCAGTACTATTACAGTATAGGAAATCTCAAAATTCATTCTGAAATCAAGTGTCAACGAAACTTCTGGGTGGTAGAAGAAAGGCAGCAGTTTCAAAGATTAACAATTTATCTCAGGAAGCTCATAGAACCAGGGGAAAGTTGGTTTGAGGGAAAAAAAAAAACAAAAAACAAAAAAAAAAGGTTGAATGTGTTTGTAAAAAATTGATTTAGCCAGTTTGTTGTGGTTATACAGATTTAATAATTAAAATTAAGAGTTTACCATCTAAGACAACATAAAAGGTAAAGTTTATTATGAAGGTGAAAAATTGTATTTATCTGTAGAAACTAAATTTGAGGGTTTTTTTTTTTTGGAGTAGTAGTGTATTTACACTTTACTAACTCCTACTTTTCCTGCAATTTATCAAAAGTTCAATATGAATAAGGCAAAATCTTACTGGCCTTTGCTGGGCCAGAAAATGCTCAGCCCTAGATACCATCAAAATTTACTTTGAGAATGTCCTTTAAGACCTTGTTCACTTTTGTCTTTTCTTACTGGCCAAAGCTAAACCTGACTCTTAAAAATGTGTGCAATCACACTTTCAAATATATTTAATGCCACTGAATTGTGTACTTTACAATGGACAAAATGGTGGAAATTGTATTGATCTTCATACAATAAGAAAGTTGGAAACAAAGTGTAGCTTTGATTTTAGTCATTTTCCAAAAAGAAAGTTAAATCATCAAGATGAACTTCAAATTGACTGAATTAGGCATTGTGCCAGTATCCTAGGACTGCCATAACTAAGAACCATAAACCGTGATCTCCAGTATCAAATTTATATCCCATAGTTCTGGAGGCTAGAAATCCAAAATCAAGTTGTTAGAACTATGCATCCTCTGAAAACTCTAGGGAGAAACATTTCTTTGCCACTTTAGTTAGATACTCACCCAGAAGATTGGGATCAACTAGCTGCATCTTTACCAAATGGACTAAGGTTGAAGGAGAATGGACCTGGGTACCTTGATAACTTAGCTGTTAGTTGGACTCTTTTTTTTTCCCCAGACCCCCTAAATTAGCTACTTTTCTCATTGCAGAAACAAAATAACAGACAAAAGCAACTTACGGAAGTGTTTATTTGGGCTCATAGTTTGAGGGTAGCAGTCTATTATGGTAAGGAAGTAATAGTGGCAGCAGCAGATTACATTGTATCTTCAGTAGGGAAACAGTAATAAATGGGGGTACTCGGAGACCTTTCTTCTTTTTCAGCAGTACCCTACCCCAGCAAATGGTACCACCAAGTTACAGTGGGTCTTCCCTCCTCAGTTATCCTATTTAAAGACTTTCTCAGAGACCTACCCTAAAGGTTTGCTTCCATGCTGATTCTAAATCTCAACTTGACAGTTAAGATCAATCTATCATCACATCCCTCAGCTTCCTCTACTAAATGATAAGAGTTCATTCTTTCTTGAGGATCCCAATACGTACCACCACCCACATAATCTCTTGATAGAAGTCGGAGAAGTTCTCAGGTCTGTACTGAAAACTTACAAATGTAGAAAGTCATGACTTATTTATATGGTTGCTTATTTGATATAAAGGAAACAACCAAAAATAGGGGTTCTGATTTGTAAAGAAAGTATCAGATTTTCTCCTTAATATAGAAAAATGCAAACCTGTAGAGTGATAAACATTTAAAAAGAAAAAAGTGCTGCTAGATAAGGAAAGTGGAAGTTTTGTTTAAAAATTAATATTAAGTTATTTGATGTTGATTTTTTAAAGAAAACGGATACAATTATTGGGTATAGTCTGCTATTGATAATATAGAATTATATAATGATAAAGTTATTTTCCCAAGTATTTTCAATTATACATTGTTGTTAGCTATAGTCATTATGATGTACAATTGAAGGACAACCTTTTGCCTATCCAGTTATAACTGCATCTCAGCTCTCATCTCCATTTCCCCTCACCAGTCTGTGGATTCCACATACGAGTGAGATCATGTGGAATCTTTCTGTATCTAACATTCTATTTTACATAATACCTTCCAGGTTCATCATGGCACTCAAATGCAGGATTTTTTGTCACAAAATATTTTACTGTGCATGTAATTTACATCTTCATTCATCTGTTGTTGGACACCTAGCTTGGCCTCTGTCTTGGCTTTTGCGACTAGTAATGGAAAGAATATGGAAGGTCAGATGTGTCATCAACGTACTGATTTCATGTCTTCTTTTTTTAATCTTCCTCATTTTTGTTTTTTTTTTCCTAACATTTATTCTCCCCCACCCCGTGCGTGTGTGCATGCATGCGTGTGTGTGTCTGTCTGTCTGTCTGTCTTTCTGTCTGTCTGTCGGGAGCGGCACTGAGAAGACAACTTGTCGGAATTCTTCCACCTTGTGCATTCCAAAGATCAAACTCAAGCCATCAAGTCTTGGCAGCAAGCACTCTAACCTGCTGAGCTGACTCAACAGCTCTAATCTTCCTGTTTTAAGGAACACTATAGTTTATCCAGTAATACATCTGCGAGTTTTCATTCGTGCTATTACTGAGTTCCCTTCTTTTCATACTTACTATCTTTTGTCTTTTTGATAACTGCCAGCTGGTTTGGATGAGCTATATCTTCTTATGGTTTTACTTTTCACTTATCTGCCTTATATATCTGTTGCCCATTTTCATAACTTCTTTTAAATATCTAATCAAGTCTTTTGCCATGTTTCTAACTGGATTACTTGGGTCTTGCTATTGAATTGGATTTCTTATATATTCTGGATATTTAATCTCTTGACAGATGTACAGTTTTCACATATTTCTCCTGTTCTATAATTTTTTTATTCCCTCTATTACACAAAAGTCCTTGCCTAGTATACTATTGTAAAATATGTCCTCTATCCTTTCTCCTATTACATAGTTTAGTCCTTACTCTTTTTTAATGATTTTTTCAAATGCTCACAGAGTTTCATTTGTCTGCATTAGCTTTTCATTACAGTTTGTGTTTCATGTGCATACTTGTGTGTTTGAA